TTCTAATAGTGTTTGTGGACACGATGTCATGTTTCCATCTTGTACAATGAATAACCACTAAGAGCAATATGAAACTTATTAATTATTGAAACTGTGCTAGTAATTAGTTTTGAAACTGTCTCATTGCTATTTGTTTCTCAATAAAATTATTTTCAAAAAAAAAAAAAAAAAACAAAGAAGAAGGACTCTTTCTCTGATGGGCCCTTCCACCTCATGGTTTCTGCCTTGAGCCAGCTGGCACAGACTACGCCCACTACAACTGTGAGCTGAAACAAACCTCTCCTCATTTATGCTGCAGGAGCCTGGTATTTTGTCCCAACAACAGAAAAGTTGATTAATATATGTAAGTGCACTGAACCTATTGAACCAAGCATTTAAAAGAAAACTTTAAAAACACTAATAAAAGCTTTCAAATCAAAACATGCTTGCAAATAACTAAAATTTTATTATGATTTTTTAAATTTAAATGCTTAAGAAAGCAAATGCTCAAGGTAGATTTACAAAGGTCATTATAGCATATACCTGTAATCCCAGCACTCAAGAGACTGAGGCAGGAGGACTGATGTGAATTTGAGGCAACCTGGGATAAATAAGCGAGTTCAAGGCCAGCCTACACTACACAGTGAAACCTTGTCTCAAAACCAAGAAGATGTGTGTGTGTGTGTGTGTATTTGAAATGACTTTGCCACCCTAGTAGTCAATGCCATTCAAATGTCACAGGGCTGACTGAATAAAAGATTCAAAGCGGGAAATGATACTCTGTGTGTTATCCAAGTTAACAGTAAATCTCATTTTTTCATTTTACAATCTTTCCTCCACATTCAAACTCCAGTGACCTGAATAAGACCAGCAGAACTGGAACTAGGAAAAAACTGAAAGGACCAGTATCTTCACTAAGAATACTCTGTGTATTTCTGGCCATGCATCTTGAAACCAGACCCTAATGGAGTTTATCTGAATAGCATGTATGTCATGCACACATATGTAATCATGTACACAGTCAGAAATTCCTAAAATAAGGGCTGCATGATTTATAGTGACGAAGGTATAAATTACCAACTCTTCATCAAGTGACTTTAGTTAGAAGGAGCCATTGAAATTAATAGTTTATGAGTGAGACTCTTTGCAAATGTTTTGACCTTCTGGTATAAAATGAATTCAAGCTAAATGTCTAAATTCAAAGCATAGGTAGTCATGAGGTATAAATGAACTTATCAGATATAACTTCCAAAGAACTGTGTTTTACCTTTCTGCTTCCACTAAGGCCAAAACTCATTTAAGAGATTCTGATAATACAAATCTGAGTAAAATTCACAACAAACATAAGCATTCAGGGCAATTGTACACAGTTCTATTAAATATAATTAATGGAACTTTTATTACCTAAGCTTTCTTTTCCATAAAGGACATTCTTTAAAAAAACTGACCTAAAATGAACAAAGTAAATCATTAATACATCAAGTAAGTCCAAGTTATTAAAAATACATATACAGTGGTACCTCAGTCCATGACTGATTTTGTTTGCAAACAATTTTTGTCTTCAAACAGAAGTACTAGCAAAATTTTGTTTTTGTTTGCAAACTCTGCATCAGGTAACACATACAACAGTGGCCATCTTCCCACACTGACAAAAATGTAGCCATCTTTTCCCAAATCATAAAGCAAATGAAGTTCATGAACTGAGATACCACTGTATAACTGATAAATTATAACAGCTGTCCCATGCCATTCAGGATTGAAGCTGTTTCTGGTTTTTCTGTAAATAACTCTGACTTGTTTCCAACAGTTATCTCTAAAAAGATCTTTGCAATCTTTAACTTTTGAAGACTTCCTTTGGAAAATCTTCCTAATTATATTTTAAGCCATTCTTGAGTCCAAGGACATAATTTTTAACACCTTTGCAATAACTTAGCAAACTATTGAGTTCACAGAGTGAGTTAAAAGCTAGCCTGAATCCCAGAGCAAG